TCCTCACTCGACCCGTACAAGCTTGTGGAACGTGTTCTGGTGCACATGTATCCGTAATAAGGGTAACCAGGGATGTCGAAGAGGTCAATGTTCGACGTGGACTTCTATCTTTATTGCATATTGCTCGTCAGATATCCAGAGTGGCAATGTAAGAAAACTTAAATGTTTACTGCCAAATATCCTGTCCTCGAGGTTACGATGCAACGATCTGCTCGTGGGGAAGCACAAGATGACGCCGTCACGAGATCACGTAAGTAAGCGCTAACAGGTGAACGCTCATGGTACGCGGAATCCTGGTTGTTTCATGCCTCCTCCCTCATGCTCATCGAGCCCTCTCCTCGATTGGACATCCAAAGCGTAATCCAGTGTTCTACTTCGGAATCTTTGTTTGCAGCGTGCTACTTCCCGCTAAGTTGCTGAATCAGCATCGCCGCTCGTCCGCAAGCGGGCCAAGGTCTGACGCTCCGTTGCCGTACACAACAGAACGCGTGTGGTTCGCTGATCCCGTGCAGGTCATCTGCCTTCAGGATGTCTTTGAGACCAAGTTCGCAGTCAGTTTGATCAGAATGAACTAATTCTTCCATCATAGTGTCCGCGTATCTTCACCAATCTCTGGCCTTCATTGGTGCGTGCTTCCGTCCGAACAGACACTTCCACTGAACTGCTGACTTTATGGAGCTATATCTGGATAAATCTGGTCCATTTTCCAGCTTCTCGGATAGTCGAAGTCAAAGTATATCTGGGCGCGAAGCATGATGCAGTGCTCGGCCGGACGGGAAAGGCGGGAGGGCGATTATATAAAGGAGGAGCGTCATGCTCCCATGGGGAATACACAAGGTCTGCCTCACCCTCAGGTCTCTCGTCAGTGGTTAGCTTCATACCACAGGCAGCACTGGTGGTACTTGGGCAAGATGGCCTTTCCTCGAACGCTGTTATGCTCTCTCCTACTGCTCATTCCCTCCTTGTCCGCCACCGCACCCAGTGATACATCCGCGAACGCAACCTCTAACTCTATCTTTAGCTCTTCAGCGTCTAGCTTTACCTCTGCCGCCTCAGCTTCTGCGACAACATTGACATTGGCCCCGTCCAGTGCGACCGGCACAGAGTCGCTATCCACATCTAGCGCTGCAACATCTGGATCTGCCTCGCTGTCTCTCAGTGTTGTTCCGACCTCAGCGTCGTTCAGCATCTCGGGCACTGTGACCGCGTCATCGGTATCGCAGAATATCACTGTCAGTGGCAGTCTGACGACAGCGTCCGCAAATGCTACCGCGCCCACCGCGAGCCCGACGTTCAACAGTGGTTCGGGAACCGAGACTGGTACGTCTGCTACGAAGCTCCTCACGTTCACAGAGAAGCTGACGTGAAGACAGGTCCGATCACCATTCCGAACACGCCCTTCTCATTCCAACCATTCCCTACTCCTGTCGCTCCTCATGGGGTCCCCGAGTTCCCATCCGTGGACCCTGCTTCACCTCCCCCTCCTTCCGATGCGCCTGGTCTGGGTGGACATGTACCGAACTTTGCGGCTGCATGGGACATTGCATATGCCAAAGCGAAAGCCTTGTTGGCTACAGGATGGACGAATGCGGACAAGGCAGCACTTGCGACGGGTGTGGGTTGGGAGAATGGACTATGCGTGGGCAACACACCCGCGATTCCAGGCAAGTTCCCTGGACTATGTCTCGAGGTGTGTACGATGCATGTTGTGTGAACGGAGTGGAATGACCGATGCGCTGGGCAGGACTCGCCGTTGGGCGTTCGTGATACGGACTTTGTGACCGCATTCCCGACTGCGATCACAGCCGCGGCCACGTGCGTCTATTTCTCCATTCTTCTGTCCTTCTGAGCCTACAGACTGATTGAACTACAGATGGAATCGCACCCTCCTCCGTACACGTGGTCTGTTCATGGGTCTGGAGCACAAGGCTAAGGGAGTCAATGTAGCGCTGGGACCGATGATGAACATGGGGTACGTTGAGATATGTATGCGCGGTGTGTAGAGCCGTTCCAGCTGACAATGTGCGCAGGCGAGTGGCTCAAGGTGGACGTAACTGGGAAGGATTCGGCGCGGACCCTTTCTTGAGTGGTGAAAGCGCTTATGAGACGATCTTGGGCCTCCAGCAAGGTGGTGTGCAAGCATGCGCCAAGCACTTCATCAACAAGTACGTACGATTTCCCTCGAGGACGTTACATTTACTGACTTGCTATCATCTCCCAGCGAACAGGAACATAAAAGAACCCAGGCCTCATCAAACGTCGATGATAGGACTCAGCACGAGATCTACGCACACCCGTTCTTGCGGAGTGTCATGGCCGGTGTTGCCAGTGTCATGTGCAGCTACAGTAAGTATTTCTCAGTTGTTCTACGCTGATTGTACTAAAGGCACGTAACAGACCTTATCAATGATACCTATGCCTGCGAAAATGATAAGATGCTGGACGACGTACTGAAGCGCGAGTACGGGTTCAGGGGATACGTCATGTCCGACTGGAGTGCACAGCATTCGACGATCAGTGCCGCGGTGGGGCTTGACGTGAGTATCCTTCGATTACACGCGTAATCTGGCACACGTGTACGCCAATCTGACGCGTGGTCTGGCTTTCATCTAGATGACGATGCCGGGAGACATCACGTTCAGCTCGGGCACGTCGTGGTTCGGCCAGAACCTGACTGACTTTGTCGCAAACGGGACGATCGCCCAGGCACGTTTGGACGATATGGCCACCCGGATTCTGGCGGGTTGGTATCTCCTCAAGCAGGACGGGCCGTACCCAGCAGGTTCGTCAATATTCATTACCTCCTTGGTATGCGTAGCTGAGGACTAAATACGGACCTGAACAGTGTCGTTCAACGCGTTCAACTTCCTGGACCAGGTCAACAACAAGCACGTAGACGTGCAGGACGACCACTTCACTGTTGTGCGTGAGATCGGCGCCGCCGGAGCTGTCCTCCTCCGCAACGAACACAATGCGCTGCCGCTGAAGCTGGGTCAGGGTGGTATCAGAAGTATTGTCGTTGTTGGTAAGTTGCATTCTATACTCTCGTCTACGATACTGGGCGACTTACGCACTGTCGCACAGGCAACGACGGTGGCCCTGCGCTTCGTGGCCCGAACGGGTTCAGCGACCGCGGTGGGGACGACGGCGTGCTCGCGATGGGCTGGGGCTCCGGCACAGCGCAATTCCCGTACTTAATCGACCCGCTGGAGGCTATCCAGAGTCGTGCGCGCAGCGGAAAGAAGAGCAGCGAGCGCCCGCTCGTGAGCTGGTGGCTGAACAACTGGGATCTGCGCGGTGCGGCGTCGGCCGTGGCGCAGCAGGACGTCGCGATCGTGTTTGTGAACGCGGACTCTGGAGAGCAGTATATTACCGTCGACGGCAATGAGGGCGACCGGTGCGTGTTGATGCCTGCTTGACCTGTCCGTGTTGGCTGAGACTCATTGGCTTTGTAGCAAAAACTTGACGTTGTGGGGTAACGCCGACAACCTGATCGCTGCCGTGGCGGCCAACAACAAAAACACGGTCGTCGTCGCGCACTCCGTCGGGCCTGCCATCATTGAGCCGTGGATCGAACACCCGAACGTGACGGCTGTCATCTGGGCGAATGTCCCTGGCCAGGAGGCAGGCAACTCGATCGTCGATGTCCTGTTTGGCGACGTCAACCCGTCTGGAAGGCTTCCGTACACTATCGCGAAGCAGGCGAGCGACTACGGCGCAGGTCTCATCCTCGGCGGCGCATCGAACACGTTCCTCAGTATCCCGTACACGGAGGGCTTGCTTATCGACTACAGGTGGTTCGACGCGGTAAGTGCTTGCCCCTGCAACAGTCGATGGCTGAATTATAACTCATCGTATGCAGAACAACATCGATCCTCGATTCGAGTTTGGGTTCGGTCTCTCGTACACGACCTTCCAGTATTTCAACCTCCACGCCAGCACGATCCCGCAGCCCGATTCGGACTCGAAGGCGCTAGAGGCCGCATGGGCAGCCGGCAAGGCAACCCCCATTGCTGAGGGCTCGTCGAGCGCGCTCTGGCTGCACAGGCCGCTTGTGAAGGTGACATTCGATGTTCAGAACACAGGCAGCGTCGACGGTGGCGAGGTGAGTCACCTTTCGTTCTGGTACACACAGACGCTCTGACACTGTTTGGTTCTCCAGATCCCTCAGCTCTACATCCATCATCCATCATCCGCCGGCGAGCCCCCGTCGGTCCTGAAGGGCTTCACGGACGTTTACCTGCACCGCGGACAGAGGAAGACGGTGACGATCACGCTGTCGCGGTACGACCTGAGCATATGGGACGTCGTCCACCAGGGGTGGGCGAAACCGATCGGCAAGATCACGTTCTCCGTCGGTGCGAGCAGCAGAGACTTCAGGCTGCAGGGCACTGTCCCCGTCTGAACGGACCCGGAGAGGCGAAAAGTAGTACACACGCGCTGAGGAGTCGCTTGGCGTTGTTTGTGGATATACCCTATGGACATATATATGGACATCTGAATGCGTGAATTCGAGAAAGCATTGTCCAGTGCTCTTGGTACTTTGCGCCGTAGATGCATTGCTGCGTGACAGATGAATGGCCTCTTAGAAGTGTTTTCTGTCTATTGTCAGTGCCTACGATGCTGAGGGAGATGTCGACGCCTGAACTAGCGAACCCTTGCAGAGCATAGATACAGATACGCGTTACTGGTGCAATCTCGAATCGTGGCTTCTTCTCTATCAGTGCAACGTATGGTGGTGCCCCCGATACTACTTGCCTGGAGGTGTTGCGATGCGAATAAATAAAGACTGCGTAAATACAAGTTAGATTCAGCATCGCCCAGAAGCTGACAGCAGCACACCCGGGCAACCATTGTTTATAGTCGGGCCTTCGGGCTACTTGCTACACAGAAGTATCTGAGAGATGTCCTGAGAGTTACCCGAGGGCCTCATTTGAGCTTCACGGAGAAATCGAGGAGCGCAGGAGATATTTATCCTGGCAGAGCCAAAAGGTATCACTAGCCCACCGCGAGGGTCGAACTCGCAGCCTTCAGATTACGTGCAGAAACCGCCACAAACGTAAAAGTCTGACGCTCTATCCGATTGAGCTAGGCGGGCATGTTCTGCTACCTTGTGATACTCATCTCATCGGCATCTCGGTGCCTGTATACGTTTGTGGGAGCAAGTGGTACGCATGACGTCACTACACACAGTTCGACTCCCCATCCGCTCCTCCTCCCCTAACGGTACAATGAGGTATATATACCTCAGTATTTCTCTCCATGAACACCCATCAACCTTAAACACCACACACCATGTCTAACAACTTTGACAACAACTTCGAGCAGGATACCTCCGCCGTCCTCGCATCGCAGCCACCGCCGGCGCACCACACCCACCAGTCGTCGGACCCTATTCGCACGGCGGGTCCAGACTACTCTGCGGAGATCACAAACGACTCGAGCATGTGGGGCGGAAATAACCAGAGACGTTTCGGTGCAGGAACCGATGACCATGTGGTCATGGGCGGAGGTCAGCACGCCGCAGACTCTGCTTTACCCACCTCGGCTCTCGATGAGCGAGACGCCGGTCACAAGGCGGATGCCTTCACGGAGGACAGGCCTATGAACGTGCAACCCACTGGAGCAGGTACGCCATATGATAAAAAAGTTTTTGAGCCGTTCCAACTGTGTTGTTCTCAAAACAGGTGGCGTCGCTGTCGACGGCCGGGACGACTTGCCCGAGGGCAAAGCAAAGATAACTGACAAGCTCATCGGAAAGACGCAGAAGGTCGGTCGATATAAAAACGCACAGCCTGTTCATATACTGATCATTATCAATGGCTAGGTCGCTGGCAAGATGATGCACAAACCGGAGATGCATGAGAAAGGCGAGCTGCGCGAGGCTGGCGGCAAGGACGCTGCAGCTGGCCGTGCTCGAGCTCCTCATGATTAAGCACACCATAGATATCTTGGGAGTCACCGTTTATCATTGTACAAATGTAGCGCTGTGTTTGTAGTACTAATCCATGTAATATCCTATGTCCTGGTGTCCTTCTTGCACTGTCCGCGAAACTGAGTCCGCCAATCCGTTACTTTGGGGCGCGAAGTGCTATGTGGGGAAGGCTGCACCTTCCCGGCTGTGTTTCAATCTTGGCTCCTGCAAGTAGGAGATCATGCAGATATCTAGGGTCCACGAAGAACAGTTTGTGGAACGAACCTCTATTTGCAAGCCACATTGGAAACGAGGCACACTGTGCATGTAGCATCAGTTTGTGAAGGCGATTCGTCGATCTATATCCCCGTCAATACCGACTGTTCCGATATGTGATGTGAATGCTCGGAATCATATTACCTTCATGAGCAAAGATGCATACACCCTGTCCGGGGCTAATCAGCTACCCGCTGCATGTGGCGTGACCAGCATGATAATACGCCCACAACGCCAGCAGAACAAGTCTACCCGGAGGGAATGCCAGTGGCATTCTCGCCAGATAGACTTCTTCATGTCGGGTAATGCACTCTAGAACGGAGGCTTGGCAGAAGAAAGATCGCGCTCCGCCGTGCACAGAAAAGTGCACGCTGACACGAGTATGGGCAACGTTGTATCGCGACATCCTTGGAAAGCAGAACCCTACAGACAGGTAACAGTCTGTAGGGTCCTTCGATATGTGGCGAGGGGTGGTTGTATATCGATGGACGTTGCAGGGACTGATTCGGCGAGGATGTCGGGTAGAACACTGCCGTCTCTCGCGTTCTTGACTGCGCACATACCAGCCCCATCTGTTGAGATCACGGCGAGCAGTACTCGAGGCAAGTAGAAAGGGTCTCACCTACGTTCATACGCTCTATCCGATCGCCGCGATGGAATGATCCTGGCTGAGTTCAACGTATATGACACCGTAGCACGGCCACTGCTTCTAGTCTATCCGTCAACTTGGAGAGATATACCCACTTCTGAGCACAATGACTCACCGTGGGCTATGAGTAACACACGGTTTACGGATTTGGACGACCCAGTTCGTAGGGGGTGTGTCGAAGTCGTCCTGGTGGTTCAAGTGTGACCGGGGCCGGGTGGGACTAGTGTGGCGCGCCGATCAGCACTGGCATCCGCCCACGTGACCACGAGGTTGTCACCGAGTTCGAATATTGCCCACGTACAGAGTCCGCTTAACAGGGTCTGACCACCACCTTGAACACGCAGCAGTCGCAGCCGCTGGCTTCCTGCGATTATCGATGAACAGGCATCCAGTTAACAAGGCTATGCATGAACGACGGACCGTTCGATGCGTCGAGGCCCTTCGTCCCCACCTCTTTTATAACCAGCCTCGACGCTCATATCCCCGCAGACGGTTGAGTCACATCCCTTCGCCTCTTTCTTTCGGCATGAGCTCTACTACACCACTCAGCAGCCCTCTTCCCTCCTCCAGCCCCACCCTCTACGGCGAAGACGATGGTGCTTCAGTCGTCTCGACAGACTCGGTCATGTCAGGACTGGAATTGAGCGACGCTTACCCTGTCGTAGTCGCTACACCGTCCAGGACCCGTGTACCCTCGAGGGGCTACCTTCCCTATTCCTCCCCCATCCGTTACGGTGAGCGCTCGGACCCGTTGGATGGGCACTTTCCATCCGATTCTTCAACGAGTAGCGATACATCGGACTACAAGACGCGGGCGCACAATGCAGAGGCCAAAGTGGAAGCGCTGGAGAAGGAACTTGCCGCTGCGAACGTGCTGCTGGTCTCGGAGCGAGATAAAGCTGCCCAATCGCGGGCTGACGCGGACCGGCTGTTGCTCTCGGAGAAAGATAAAGCTGCCCAACTGTTGCTCTCGGAGAAAGATAAAGCTGCCCAACTGCAGGCCGCCACGGCTGCACGACTTGACGCTGCGAACGACCTCGCTGCTGCTTTTAGAGAACAGGCTCAGAGGGAAAGGAAGTTGGCTGAGGAGGCCGAGGAAAGATGGAAACGTACCCAGGCGGAGCTGGACCGTTTGCAGGGTGCTCACAAATAGTCCCCATCCCACTTCTTGTAGAACACGACCTGACCCAACTTACGTACTGAGACTGACCCGAGATTGTACTTATCTGTAGCTTGTCGCATCCATTGGCCTGGCTCCTGAACCGACTATAGACACACTGCACTTATCTGTAGCACATTAAATGTCTTAACGCATCCGTTGTCCTGTCTTTTCGGCGTGTACTGAACAATGCAACATGTTCAGCTCATTGTCCGTTGCAACACTGAAATGCGCGCACGTGACCGCAATGTTGCCACCGAGTTCAAACGTTGCCCGCGTACAGAGCCCGTATGACAGCGTTTGACTACCACCACGCACCAGCCACAACCTGACTTCCTTGCGATTATCGATGGCTACCAGGCATCCGGTTAGTAAGGCTGCGCATGAGCGACAGGCCTATCGAAGCGTCGAGGCTCTCCGTCCCCACCTCTTTTATAACCAGCCTCGACGCTCATATCCCCGCAGACGGTTGAGTCACATCCCTTCGCCTCTCTCTTTCGACATGGAATCTCCTGCACAACATAGCCCTCTCTCTAGTCCCCAACTCCCCGTCATAGACGACGGTGCCTCTATCAGGGCGCAGCTCCAAGCGGAGCAGAAGCTGTGGCTGGAGGACAGAGTGAAAGAGCTGGCCAGCCAACTCCACAAAGCAGAAGAGAGCGCGGCTGCACACCTCGCCACCAAGGACGAACACCTCGCCACCAAGGACGAACTCATTGGCACGCTAAAAGGACAGGTTGAGAGGGAAAGGAAACTGGCCGAGGAGGCCACTGAAAGAGCGAGACGTGCCGAGGAGAAGCTGGAGCGTTTGCTTGGCGCTCGCTGATTAGTCCCCGCCTCTTGTACAGTAGAACAGCCTGACCATGACTTAACCCAACTACGCACTTGTACTGATTGTATCCGAGTAGCTTATAAACGTCTTATCCCATCTGTTGGTCCTTTTGATGTGCATCTCATCGCCTGTTGGAGCACTGGAATCCCAGCGCACACTTGGAGAGTCAATGTCCATGCGTGGGCTGCATCAAGGTGAGTACGGGCGAGCTCGTCCCAGCTCGCGCTACAATCAATGCCAGTCACAGCAATAGCCAACTCGACACCACCGCAACTACGCAGCACGTGACCGCGGCATGCTACGAACTTGAACACGCGGACACCGCAACCTGTTTCCTCTGCAGCCGTCAATGACTGCGGGAAGCCGTACAGCTGGCAGCGTCGCATCCCACTGCCGCGGCCTTCGCAGTATCGAGGCTCTCCGTCCCCACCTCTTTTACAGCCAGGCTCGACGCTCATATCCCCGCAGACGGCCGTACTACATTCCTTCGCCACTCTCTTTCGACACCCAAGCCCTCGCCGTGCCCTCGGCTGGCGACGGCCACGACGGAGTCGCTCCTAACGTGCTCGGGCCCCAATACTGTTCGCCGTTGACCAGCAGCCTGGCGAACGCGTGGACCTTGTCACGCCCCCGCACACACACACCAATGCCCCCGACGCACCTCGGAAGAATGACGCTTTCCTCCCACACAGTTCACTGACCACTCCCTCCCCCTTTAGTACATACACTACTACGTCCATCATGTTATGCAACATCCAGGGGGTCCCGTCTCCGGAGATAGGGCCAACGGAGAGGAGACTATTTGAGTCACCTGAAGGGGAGGCGGCGCGGCTGAGGGATGAGATTACCAGACTGAAAGGGGAGCTTGCGACAGCGCTTGTGAGGGTGCAATACGAAGGTACCATCAATGCCGGACTCAGGTCCCAGCTCGAGAAGGCGGAGAAAGCCGCGGAGGAGGCAAAGGCAGAGGCGAAGGTGGCGAATGACAAACTGATGACCTTAGTATTAGCCAAGCAGGGTCCTCCCTCTAAGTCTAAGTAGAACCGAATTTGCTTCTGTCGTGTATATCTGTATCAAGTAAAATCCCTAGAACTGCTTTGAGGTCTTCAAGGGATGGCAGTGTTCGCATTCCATCTGCTGAGCGCGCCGTAACACAGAAGAGCACGTTCTCTTGCACGTGATCAGTCTCAACTAGCATCCCGACGCGTGTACGCGCGAGCCTGCTCTTGTTCATCTCCAGATTCATACCGAATGAGCGTCGCGCTCTC